AAAAAAGAGGTCGGAGGGGGTTCGGCGAACTAGCCTGGCACGAAAACTTGTTCAATATGTCCATTCGACTTACAGTCCTAGTTGTGGGTATGAGGTCAATCCATATGTGCGTATTTTGTGGTTATGTTTTATGTCTATTTTATATGCATGTGCATGGGGTATTAATATCTGAGTTGGCAATCAAGTCATGTCAGTCGAGCTTGAGTTGTGGGTTCTATTGACTCAAGCTCAAAAACCATCGATTTTATTGCAATAACTCAAGCTCACAAATATCACTGGGTTTTATTGTTATTGACTCAAGCTCGACTCATTTATTTTTTAGCCTTCGGATTTATATCCGACTTATATCAAGCAATACATAAATTACAGACTTGACAAATTTGCAGTAGAAAAAATGAAGAATGTACACGATGAACTCATGTTTATCTAATAATCAACCATTGAAGTCATATCTAAATAAACTCTAAACGATCTTCCGCAAGTTATTGCAAAATCTTAGAAACAAGAACGAAAGAAGTAAAAGAAAATTATGTATTTTTATCATAAGAAAAATAAGTGATAAATTTCACCAATTGTGGTATATTTCACTTAATTACCATCTCCCACCGCTACCATTCATTAATTCTGTTTTTTTGCTTTTCTTATTTCTCTTTTCAAGATAAAATTAGAGTAGTGTTATTTTCACCTGCAAATTATCTCTATTGACTATCAAATCAATATAAAATATCATAAATATCCTTCAACTTTTAATCCACCATTCTCCCTTATATCATATGTGCTTAACCCTCTTCTGTTTTAAGATGGTTTTTTTTTTCTTTTCTTTTCTTCTAATGAAATATTTATTACAAGATATTTAAACTTCCATATCAGATGACCTACAGATTATGTAACTTGTGCTAGCTAATGCAACATAATATTTCATCTAATTTTGCACAACAAAATTGTGAACTTTAAATTTTATATAGTTAGCCGACGGTTGATCATTCCCAAAATTAAACTTAAACAGCTAAAACAAGATTCTTATAATTATCAAATCTGAATCAGGTTCTGGACAGATTGTGTTGAATGAAATGTAACCTATTTTTTAAATTTTAATTCACCAAAAACAACAAAATCAAAAAAAAAATATTTTTTATTTTTAATTTATTTCTACACAAGCGTTCTTAATTTATTTCTTCGAGAACGTGGATTCCTGCTCCTTTTGATGTTTTGAATGTATCGTTCACTTAAGGTGCAGATGGTGGAATTTTGTGGTAAAGATTTTAGTGGAAAATTGTGGAGTTTTTTTGTGAATATTCTAAGGGGAAATATGCAATACCCCTCAAATGGAAAATATTTTGAACTAAATCCAATTGACTATTAGAGACTTTTGCCTACACCCAAGTTTCATTCTTAATTAGTGAGACCCCCCTAACCAAACATGATAAGGCTAAAGTGCCCTTATGTGATTAGGTTTTTAACGTGATATAATTTATTTCACTCTTTCACTCCCCCCTCTCTCTCGTTCTCGATCTCTCATCTTCTTTTTTTTTTTTTTTTCTTTTTCCGTCTTTCTCCAGATCTGTATAACACCGGCGGCGCCCTCCTTCATCCTTTTCACACCACCGTCGTAGTCCACTCACCATAGCCATCGTTGTTCGTGCATTCGTCACCATCGAAGTCAAAAATACCTTTAAACTTCCAGTCGGCCGAAGACTAATGCAGGAGGCCCTCCTCCATACAAGTGGTGGCGGA